TGTTACAGATATGATTTCTCTGAGTAATGAGGAAGGCAAAGTCAGACAGCATTCTTGGTGATGCCTCACTAGCTCTGAACTCAGATCTGTGAAAGGAAAGTTATAACAAGAAAGGTTTAATGGAAGAAAATATGGAAAAATTAGGTGGTATCACTCTTATAATGGTTTGTAAGTGGCAAGAGTAGATGCATGTCAGATAGGTAATAATCTGTTTTCAGTAGATGATAAAGACATTATCTAAGAGCATATTTTCAGATGAATAAAAAATTGGGATGTGTGTGAATACAGACAGAAATCATTCAGAGGTACCAACAGAAATTAAAAATACATGCAGAAGGTAATTAAATGATATTAGACCAGGGGGAAAAAATCTTACTTCTCTTCTCTTTTCTTGTTGTAGACAGCTCTAGCCTTCTACCACACAGGTTGTTAAGCTCAGTCTTAAGTGAATCATCCTCTTCATCCTCCTTGTCCTTCAAAGTGAGGTTCTCTAAATACAGTTGCTTTTATTGTTCTGTAACACAGTGCGACTCTCTGTCCCCTTCTAGTGGCTGAACCATATAAATGTTTTGATTTTGCCCCAACTTTGCCTTAAAAGAATTATTGACTCTAGCTGGCTCATGCTTTTAGACTTGAGAGGTCCAGAGTTCAGTCCCCGCTACTAACGACCCACTTAGGAGTGCCAAATTACATTTAGTGCTCTTTAAATGAGTAATAGTAATTGTTGTTTCACAGGGCATATGACACTATATGCAGTGCTTTTTTTGTTACGGTATTGCCCGGAACGGCGTATCATCACCTATTTTCCCACCCCACAGAAAAGGATTCTCCCGTGCGTACCAGCACCTGTTTTCCTTGGGCGGCTCGGCTCCTGGTGGAAGCCTGCTCGGAATGCACAATGGTTTTTTTTTTCCGGCTCCCAGTGTGGTGCTTAGGCTCTTAAAGGGGCCGCAACTGCCTTTTGGCCCCCAGTTTATTTGTGGTGTGGGGTTTTTTTTGTTCAACAAGTTTGCCCCAGAGTACCGGCACCTATTTTCTTACAAAAAAAAGCACTGACTGTATGAATGTCAATTCTGATCAGTTAAACGGATTTGAAGGCCTTATAATCTTAAAAGCAAAAAATCCTTTCCTTTTCATCTCAATGTTGCCACTAAATTCTTCTTCCTTCCCTGTCATGCAATTCATGACACTCATCCTGTTAAATCCACACACTCATCATATCCGATTTTACATCAATTTCAATTTCTCATCTATTCCCCAGGAGAATTAAGCTCATTCCTTGACTCTGTTCTGATTTTCTCTGATTTTCCCATACTCCCCATCTACTTTCAAATTCTTATTTGCTAGCTTTTTCATGCTTGTGGTTTAAACTAGGTAGAAAAACACCTTAAGTCTGACACTCCTTCCTTCTTGTGTACTATATATCCTTTTTATTGAAATCAACTGATAAAACATACTTTCACATGGCCTTTGAGGCAACATCTATCTTCCTGTATGTAAGCAGGAAGTGAATAAAGATGTATAGATAGGCTAGTCTAGTCTTTGTGTAAAGGTGTACAAGACTAAATCATGTACAAGTGTCAGCCGACGGTCAGGGCTCCCTATATCTGTCCCTTAAGACCGGCTGAAGTTCTTTTAAATTGTGCTTGGTTCTGTTACAGCAACTGAAGGAGTCAGGTTAAAACTTAAACAGTTACAGGTTTATTGAGGAAGCTTATAAATCATATGGTTGCAATGGCTATTGCTCTATTTCTTAACTACTAGCAAAATATAGATCTTAAAAATGGTTACAAAGAAGATAAGGATAGGAAAAACAGAAATAATAGTACCAAGTAACAGCTTAACCTTTAAAGAGCTCTAAGTCTGTGTACACTTAAGACAGAGGACCACATCCAGGTACAATTTTTACCCCCTTCTGTGCCTCTCGACTCCAGCATGTCAGGCCAGGGCCGGTCCCTCAATTCCTAGGAAAGACGAAAATACGAGGTGGTATAGAACCTTGGGAGGTCAAACACCTAACCCGACCAGCAGGTAGAGGGTAGAATGACACTCAAAGTGAGTGTGTGCTGGGCCCATCTTTTATACTCATGGGGTCACGTATTTCTCTTTCTTGTCTGTAATGCCAATTGATGCTGGTCTGTCTGCTGTGAGACCAGTTCTTACAAGGGAGTTGTGAACTTAATTTACACTTGTAAGAGAGAATTGAGATGATTAAATTGGAAGTACGGGACATTGTTTTCTCAGTGGGAAATTCCTCTCCCAGTGACTGTGTGTGTGTTCGAATCAACATCAGAGGTCCCAGCCGGTGGCAGTTCTCGCAGCCTCAAGGCCAGCTTATTGCCTTAATCGCTCTCTTCTCATATCTATGTTTTAGCTCCTCAGGATCAGATGAGCCAGCATAGACTATGCTGATATTATTGCTCCTTCTCTGCCCTGTGCTTCAGAGAGGCAAATAAGATGGATGATATGGGGTTAGTCTGTCTGGCTACAACAAGTTACACTAATGAAGAGGGTTTTCCTATGTACAAGGCATAGAATGAGCTATGGCTTGGCATTAAAACTATTAGACTGATGAAGAAAAACATTTTGGTAGTGAGATCCATTGGAAATAGGAAAGCAATAGAGATTGCATTGTGGCTGTGGCACAGTTGGGTGTGCATTGTGGGGATGGCCAAGATGACCTAAGCATGTTTCTTCCTATTTTTGGAGGTTGAGGGAGAATTGAGATTGGATCAGAAAGGAATGATCTCTGCAGTATAGCAAGATCAAATTTTCCTCAAACTGGATAAATAGTGAAGGAAAAAATATACTTTCTGGAAAGGATGCGGACTGACTAGGTGGTAAAATGTAGTCCTTTTTTTCCTAAATGTATTGATTTATTAGAAGATTTACCTGGTGTTGCTTAATTTAAATAAGTTTTATTGTTTTGTTTTCTTTGGTTTGCATTTAAATCGTTGTTCTGGGGTAGGGCTGAGGATGAGGGGTTCAGTATGCAGGCTGCTCCAGGGAGAGATGACTAACCCAGCCCCCTCTTGGTGCAACAGGGTGGGACCAGATGAGGAGCACTTATCTATGGCAGACACAGCTGGGTGAACAGACAAACACAAACAGACAAACTTTCTGAAATATATAGTAGATAGTTGTCCCTTTCTCCACCCCTGCTGCCTGCTGGCTCAATGGGATTATAGCTGTCAAGGTCCCCGTTCTGACTCCTGGCTGCCCCCCGTGGTCATTCTATAGTATAACTCCCTCCTACCAGACCTTTTCCTTTTAATTTGAAACAATCAAATTTCAGCCACATTCCATTGTCTTGGCACAGCAAAACCATTACCTTGCTTTAAATTATGAGAAGAGAAAGCTGTGTATCAAATTTGGTGGTCCTAGCTCTTTTTGTTTAGAAGGAGCAAATGGACTTGACAGATAGATGCACATTTCTAAAATGTATAGTAAGATATTTTAATCCATTGGGTGATCTGCTATGACAGTAATACAGAACATTTAAAAATGGGGAAAAGATAGAATCATAGGACTGGAAGGGACCTCGAGAGGTCATCGAGTCCAGCCCCCCGCCCTCAAGGCAGGACCAAGCTCCGTCTACACCATCCCTGACAGATGTCTATCTAACCTGTTCTTAAATATCTCCAGAGAGGGAGATTCCACCACCTCCCTTGGCAATTTATTCCAATATTTGACCACCCTGACAGTTAGGAATTTTTTCCTAATGTCTAATCTAAACCTCCCCTGCTGCACTTTAAGCCCATTACTCCTTGTCCTGTCCTCAGAAACCAAGAGGAACAAATTTTCTCCTTCCTCCTTGACACCCTTTTAGATATTTGAAAACCGCTATCATGTTCCCCCCTTAATCTTCTTTTTTCCAAACTAAACAAGCCCAGTTCATGAAGCCTGGTTTCATAGGTCATGTTCTCTAGACCTTTAATCATTCTTGTCACTCTTCTCTGTACCCTTTCCAATTTCTCCACATCTTTCTTGAAATGTGGCGCCCAGAACTGGACACAGTACTCCAGCTGAGGCCTAACTAGTGCAGAGTAGAGCAGCAGAATGACTTCACGATTTTTGCTTACAACACACCTGTTGATACAACCTAGAATCATGATATTGAACAACTTGCCTGCTATGCCTAGATTGAACAGGATTGATTCAATAGGAAACTTTCAGATTTTCTTACTTCTGATTTCATTTTATCTGGCACTCTTTGAAGGGAAGGAAGAGTTTCACTTTCTCATTTACTGGAAAAAATTATGAGTTGGCATAATGGCAATACAGGATCATCAACAAATATCTCAGATATAGAATCCTTAGTCTGACACTTGGCATGTGAAATACATGGGGAGAGAAAACCTTTTGGTCCCAGATAAAAATGTGTTTATAGTATTTTGATAAATCTTTAAAATACATATTAAATTGTAATTTGATTTTCCAATTCGTATTTTTAAAAACAATATGTAGTTTTTAAATGCCATTGGGGGGGAGGAAGCCTAAATGATGCCGCACATTGTATGAAATGCCTATTTTGAAATACTGCCTAAAAATGCATATTTATCTGGGAAACTAAGGATAGCAGTTTACTTTGGGAGCATTTATTCTTACTCAGTTTCTTAATCTCTGTCTTGTTTTAAATAACACCAGTTTTCTACTTCAGGAATGTATTTCATTTAAAAAAAAAAAATCTGTATCTGGCATTGTCTCCATGGTAAAGATGTCTTGCCTTGAAAATAGTAAATTACAAATTCTTTTGAATTTCAGTTTGCTTTTATAGTCGGTTTTCCACAACATGATGATATGACAGCTTACAAAAAGCAGCATTTTTCCCTCTTTGTTGAAATTCTTACTTCTTACAAACAAGGGCCCAGGCAAGGATTTTACAAGAAATTGATAAATATTAATTAAATAAAATTGTCAGGTTCCGTACGTAACAAAATTATACATGAAGACAGCCTTAAAATCCTTAGCTAATTACTCACTTTCTGATTTGTTTTCAGAGTCGCCAACTAGAATCTGAAACTGGGACAACAGAGGAGCACAGCCTAAACAAGGAAGCCCGAAAATGGGCCACCCGTGTGGCACGTGAGCACAAAAACATCATCCACAATCAACGGGTAGGTTGAAAATAAAAAAATTGATGACATGAAAAAAGTGCAATCAAGATAAACAGATGCTAAATTAAGATCTATTACATGGCTTTTAATAATTTGAATTTAATGTTTAAGTGCACCAGAGAGATGAACACCTAATATCCTGTCTTAGTGTGTCTACCAACAGCAATGATTTGCCAATTTTTGAGATTATTTTTCCACTTGGCACCTCTGTTCATGTCTGCACTTAAGCATATGCTGAAGTCATTGGAGTTTAATCACATGCTTAAAATTAAGCAAATATTTAAATGTTTTCTAGAATCAGAGAATTATCTTGTTAATTTACTTACATAACAGAACATAAGATCGGCCATACAGAGTCAGACCAAAGGTCCAGCAAGTCCAGTATTCTATCTTCCATCACTGGCCAATGCCAGGTGCCCTAGAGGGAATGAACAAATCAGGAAATCGAGTGATCCATTCCTTGTTACCTATTCCCAGCTTCTGGCAGAGGCTAGGGACAGTAACTCTGCCTATCCTGGCTAATAGCCATTAATATACCCATCCTCCATGAACGTATCTAGTTTTATTTAGTCTTTGTCTTTACAAAATCCTCTGGCAAGGAGTTCCACAGGTTGGCTATGTGAAGAAATACTTCCTTTTGTTTGTTTCCAACCAGCTACCTATTAATTTCATTTAGTGAACCCTAGTTCTTATTTACTTTTTCCACTCCAGTCATGATTTTAAAGACCTCTATCACATTCCTGCCCCTCTCTTCCAAGAGGGGGTAGTAATCTCTTCTCAATCTTACTAATCTCTCCTCATATGACAGCCTTTCCATACCTCAATCATTTTTATTGCCCCTTTCCAATTCCAGTATATCTTTTTCTGAGATATGGCAACCACATCTGCACACAGTATTCAAGATGAGGGGGTACTATCTTGAGAGTAGTTTTGTATTATCTGCACATTTTGCCACCTCATTATTCTCCAGATCATCATTCATGAATATATTGAATATGATTGGCCCCAGTACAGACCCGTTGGGGACATCACTCTCCATTCTGAAAACTGACCATTTATTCCTATCCTTTGTTTCCTTAGAGAACTGTTGTTTTATTTTTACTAGCTTTCTCTCAAGCCTCTCACCCAAAAGCATGTTGTGGTGTTGCAGTTGCTCAGACCAGATGCGCCATAATAACACAAAATATATAACCCAATCCTACCATGTCTCAACTCTTTAAATAATCACTGCAAAGTACATGGATTTTGATAGGATGGGCTTGAAATGTAAAGATTGAATGAGAAAATGAGAGTGAAGTGTCACCTGAACTGACCATAGTTGTAACATCATGATACTTTTGGATTTTGGATCTTTTTCAAAAACCAGTTTTCCTATGATATAAGTTTGCCCGTAAAGTTTGAGCTTTTTAAATGAGGTTGCATCAGTCTGCAGAGTTTTTATCCTGCAATGTAGCACAACTCATCACCCTAACATCTGAATCTGATTAATTCCATGTGTAGTCATAAATAGTGTCACAGTGTGCATGACTGTATCAAATGTAAGGCATCTTTCTCTTGTTTTTGGTAGGCACTTGAGGAGTTAGAATGCCATGGACCTGTTGTATCTGAACAAAGCCGAGCAGAACTGGAACAGAAAATAGATGAAGCCAGAGAGAGCATCCGCAAAGCTGAGGTAAGAGAGAAGTTATTCCGGCATGTTTTTTGGTTCTTTGGTGGCACATTTATTACATTAATTTAATTTGTGTCTGAAAATCCAGACTTCTAGCATCAAATGATCAGGGAATTATAAATTGAGATTTGGAATTTCTCTTAGATTTCATTTCATTTTAATCATGACATCAATTTAATGCAAGGTTTACGAAATTAGGTGAGCAATAAAAAAATGAAATAAAATCCTCCTAGTGATATGGTTTATTAAATTCGCTGTATTTTTTCCACCTGATCAAAAAGGTAGGAATTTCTGCTTCTCTTTTCTCAACTTTCATAGATGGTAAAAACCCTGAAATTTAAACTACTTCATTACATGTGAAAGAACTAGTATCGGGAAAACATTAATCATAAATCTGTCCTCAGGTTTTGGGCTCTTTGTAGCAGCTCACCATATGTTCACTTGCACTGACTGTACAACTCTGTGTGTATATTTAAATAGGAAATAACTTAAGTAATCTTTCTAGTATTTCTCTGTCTTTTGTGTTCCCCTAACATACTGTTGAAAAGGTTATAGGGGGTTATGAGATCTCCAGATTAATGAATACATTGTGAAGAAATGAGGTTGGACCTCCGTTGTCCGTCACTCTCAGGACTTGACTGGTCCTGAACCATAGAATTTCCCGGACGAAGGAAGGTTCCCTGCCACATCCCCACAGCCCACCAGCCTTCAGCACTGCCAGCTCTGGGGGTTTCCTGCTACCTCCAGCCTCAGCTGGGCTGCTTGCTGAGTTTCTGGCCCCACTGCCCTCGCTGGAATGCCTACCGGGTTGCCCACGACCTCCTGCAGGCTCCAGCCCCATGCTGCCATGGGTCTGACCCCAACCCCGCTGCTGCAGACTACCAGGGGCTGTCCAGTGCTGCTGCTGGGGGCTGGCTTTGGCCCCAGCCCCAGCTCTGGTCCCTGCGCTGCAGGCTGCTGGGGGGCTGCTAAGGGCTTGGGCTCCGGTCCCAGCTCCAAGACATCCCAAAGGCTCTGGCCCAGCTTCCGCGGGCTGCAGCTCTATGCTGCCGTGTGCTGCCCAAGGCTGCTAGGGGCAGCCCCCAGCCCCAGCCCTGGTCCTGCTGCCATGGGTTGCTGAGGGCTTGGGCTCCTGCCCTGCAGCAGCCTTTAGGCTCTGACCCCGCACTACCATGGGCTGTTACTGGCTCATTCCTATGCTGATAGCGGCTGTCCCGGACCTGATCCCAGTGCCACAGGCTTCTGGGGGCTGCTGCCAGCTCCAGCCCACTACTGGGGGCTGTTACCAGCCCTTGCCCCATCCTACTGCATCAGCCCGGCCCAGCTCCTGGATTGCCTTCTTGCACCTAGGCTACCAGGGCTCTCTGATTCAGGAACATCTGTGGTCCTGTGCCGTCATTTTTAACTAGGTGAGGTATATTGCTATAAGTTAACTTTTATGGTCACCGATTTAAAAAAATGGCAAAAGGAGGCTTTTCATATTGTCGGACAATCAAACTACTTAGTGTGATTAGGAATGCAATTTACAATTTTGGGAGGTCAGGTAGGAAAAACTTGAGTAACACGAGTTTATTCCTGTTTATGGTATGATAATTTTTATCAGCTGTTTTAAAAACAAATTGTCATGCTCTAGTCACATAAATATTTTTAAATGCTATTGTAATAGAATAACATTTTATTTTGTATAACATCATCTTACTGATTGTATCCTGAAATACTTTCATTGCATATGGAATTACATAATGATTACATATAGAAGAATAAGAATTGAGTAAAGCAAGAGAGGAAAGTTACATTTTTAGATGATGAGAAATTATAGTGATAGTAGCAGACAGAGGAAATACAGTGAAGATGAATTTTGGGGGAGAAGAGTTTTTCACCAGTGTTGTATGAATGGACAGAGGAAGTTAGTATTACATGTTTAAGAAGCAAGTTCAGCTACAGCAAATCAAATTATTTAAAAAATAAGTTAATTGTTAGTTGTATACTCAAAGCAATGGAAAGTGGTTTAAAGCTAACAATGATGTTCTCACTCTTCTGTGGGGGTGGGGGGAGGGCAGCGAAAATTTTACCTCCTGAAGACTGGAGAGCTGAAATTTGATGCAGCTATACAAATATAAGTTGCAGCAGTCAAGGTTGGAGGAGGTTAAAAGCCAAATATCAGTAGAGGTGGGATTGGGACAATTGTTACGTGGGTTATTTTGAAGAAATAATAATAGGAAGATTTACAAATGGGGGAATGTGGGAGCAGGGAATATAGTTCTGAGTTAAGGACAACATCAAGGTTCTGGACAGTGAAGACAAATGGAGGATCTGAATTGAGAAAGGAGATGAGTTATGTCTGAAGTTGTTTGCCAAAGAGAAGAGCATTCAGTGTTATTGTAACTGTCGGTCCCAGGATATTTTAGACACGAGATAGAGTAGGTTTATTAGACCAACTTCTATTGGTGAGAGATACACGCTTTCAAGCTTATACAGAGCTCTTCTTCAGGTCTGGAAAACCTTCTTAGTGACCTGTTTTAGCATGAATAATTAATGGACCAAGATCAAGTGCCCATTCACACCCTTCCAATCATGGGAAGGGAAGAAGTAGCTGGGGAGAGGAGGAGCTGTTAGTGGCTTATAGGTTGGGGGGCCACAACCCAACAGAAAATCAGTTGGGGGGCCACATACAAGTGAGAAGCAACAAAACCCAAAACAAACCCTCTCTGACATGGCCCCTGACTGAGAAGAAGAAAGACACTCCCTACATTGCCCTGGGGGGGCACAGGCGAGTAGATTTTATGCTACAGTCCCACAGTGAGGCGGCAGGGGGCCTGGAGTGCCAGCGCAGGCTCCCCAGTGCAGGGGCAGGGAGCTGAGCATTGCAGGACAAATCCAGGCAAGCTGGGGGCTGTATCCAGGCCCTGGTCCTTAGATTCCCCACCCCAGGTTAAAGATTTTTGTAATATTTATGGCTTGCATGTAATGTCACACTCTCACCAACAGAAGTTGGTCCAATAAAAGTTCTCACCCATCTTGTGTGTCAGGATGAGGGTGGTTCTTCTGAGATACTTAACTAAAATAATTTTGAGACAAATTTTGTGGTTATTTTGAGACAGAAATCGCAAATTTATTAAGCTGAGGCACAGGAAGGATTATATGCAATTGAAGGCAGAGATAAAAGGACCAAGAGGCAGAAGATATATAGAAAAGAGCCTTGGAATGAGAACTGAGTCTTTTGGTACGCTGTAGAGGAGAACAGTCTTGTCCCAGAATTGGAGCTAATTCCAGTTTTACCTCACTTTGTGAGGAACAAGTGGAGGGTAACATACACACACAATACTCTACACCAGTGGTCACAAACCAGTCAATCATGAGCCAGCTTCTCAGGAAGCGTGCATGTGCTGCTCCTCCCCTCCTCACAGCAGTGTGCGTTCTTTTTTATCTTCCCTTCTTTCCCTTTCCCACCTTCCCCCTGACCAGCCACCCACCAGCATCCTGCTATTGCCCCCTCTCTCCTGGCCAGACACATACCCTCAGTTTGCTTTTGCCCCCACTTCCCACCCAGATTCTTCACCCGCACCCCTATCCACTCACTGGCAGCTCTGTCCCACACACTGGATCCCTCATTTTTTACCCCACCCCAGAGACGGGGGGGGGGGAAGGGGGCATAAAATCCACTTACCCTGGAAGAGTTAATCTGGCGCGAAGTCTTGAATCTCAGTCCTATATACCCTCCCCCTTGCCTCCATGGGGCTGGAGTGCCAGTGGAGTGAGGTGTCTCAGTTGAGGCCACATCAGTGAGTGTTGGTTTTTTTTGGAGAGGTTGTTTTTTTGCATCTCACTAGTGTGATCCCCAGCTGATTTTATTGTGGGTCAATAGCCCATGACCCAAAAAAGGATCCCCGCCCTTCCCATAAAGACAACCTTGAAACCTTGTTTGACATATTTTATATAAAAATGAAGCCAGGTGAAAAAGCCCCCAATTGGGGCCAAGCCCCCATCTCACTGCAGCATCATAACACTCCTGCACACCCCATACACTGCAACTCCGAGCCCATCATACACCCAATCCCCCTGCCTTGAGCCCTGCTTGCACCTCAATCCAAACTCCTGCACTCCCACATCCACAAGCCTGCGGCTTGTTCAGCACCCCAGCACTCTCCAGCTTGGAGCCTCCTCCCTGACCCAGCATCCCCTTCTCCAACAGCTCCTGCATCCAGATTCCCTCCCAAAGCTTGCACCTTTCACCCCTTCCCTCACCCAAATCCCTCATTCCCATCCCAGAGCCTGTGCCTCCTGTCTCAACCCAATGAGAGTGAGTAAGGGCTGGGGACAGCAAGTGATGGAGGGGGCGGGGCCTCAAGGAAGGGGTGGGGTCTCTGGGAAGGGATGGGGTAGATCTTGGCTTGCCCTGACATTTAAAAAGTGATCTTTGGTTTAAAACAGTGGTTCCCAAACTTTTTGGCATCACGCTCCCTTTTTGATTTTTGAGAAACCATCACGCCACCCTACCTCTTTTTTACCATCATCCAACCCCTCTTTTAACAAAAAATTCAATGAATCATTTAAAATTTAAAATAAACACAAAAACTTGGTATAAAAATATTTAAAATTAAAAATAAGCACAAATAGTTTTTCTTGGCACAAAAATTTAACAAAAATGTAATTTAACATAAGAAATAGCAGAAACAAAACGAATTTAATGTGAAAGATGATGATGCATTTTCTTCACGAGTTGGGAAATCCTACGTTTGGAATGAGGGATTTGGGTGTGGGAAGGGATGAAAGGTAGGTGCAAGCTTTGGGAGGGAATTTGGGTGCAGGAGGTGGTGAAAGGGCTGCTATCTCAGGGAGAGGCCTCCAGGATGGAGAGTGTTGGGGTTAGGTGAAGGGTGGGGTGCTGAGCAAACCACGGGCTTGTGGATGTGAGGGAGCAGGAGTTCAGGTTGCGGTGTATGAGGGGCTCAGGGCAGGGGGGTTGTGAGTATGATGGGCACAGGACACAGATTTGCAGTGTG